CCTAAACCCTAAACCGTGAAGCTCATGAATCTGATCAAGGCCAAGGAGCAATGCACACGCGACACATTTGCGAGCGTCGGATCCTCTGCTGTCAAAGGATTTACCCTAAGGCTCAAAATAGCCCCAAAAGCCTTATATAGTATGGTCTTTGGGCCCAAAAGCGTTAAAATTATGAGTCCTTAGAGCCTAAGAGTTAGGGTTTACATATGAGAATTCCGGAGAAAGGCTTTAAGATTCAGGGTTTTGGGTTTAGGGCTCATGCACTAAACCCTAACAACGGCTCGAGGCAAAGATCTTCGGTTGCGAAGAGTGGGTGGGGAAAGCCTTCCAGTTTCCCTCAAAACCCAAGAAAATCAAAGTTGAAGCTTTCAGAAGCGATTACCTTATAAGAACCCCCAAAAGTTGAAAAGTTGAGTTTACAGCCAATAAGTTTCCTTAGACTCCAAGTATATACAGATAGTACCTGCTCCGGGGTCCAAAATCCAAAAAACAGCCTCTGCTTTCGGACCTTTGGAGTCTTAGGGGGCTCAGGGTTCAGAGCTCTTGGTCTTCAAACTATATATATATATATATATATATATACACATACATATATATATATATATATATAGGGACTAGTATAAGGGTATGGAAAATACGGTTTAGACTGGAGGTCACCGGTCTCTTTATGGGGTTAAAAGCATTGCTACGGAAAAGGGCGCACAAAACCTAGCTTCCAACTTGTGTTGAGCCTATGGTATAGCCCTTGAACCCCACACCCGGACGATTTTGATGCCTACCGAAGGCCAGAGCAGTGTGGTCTGTTGTTGTACTATTGCCAAGCTCGGAGTGAAAGAGTCTGAGGGCCGTCTGGTGAATCCTCAAGCCTAAACCCTGAAACCCTAAATCACACAACCTGCCCATGTAAGTCAACAGGTCCGTCGGAGTGACTGCAGTTGTTTACCAGAAGGGCTGGCCAAAATACCCACGTCTGAGCCCGGCACGCTCAGCTGAATGGTGCAAGTGTCCCCGCGGCCAATGGTGCAGATTCTGCACAGCGTAAGGCTTCACAGTCGAGTGTTGAGAGTGAGGTTAACCCAGTTGGCCCATGACTACTTCTTTCCTTAAACCCTGAACTTCCAACCCCCGGAGCTGTGCATCCGCGACTGTACCACACAAACGCCAAGCTCTTTGTGCTATAGCCCAGCAACTGTCAAAATTTTCGGGTTCAGGGAAATGCCTGTAGACGCAAGCCCACGTACAGAGAAGTAGAAGCCGCTAGCTGCAATAGGCAATAGGTATGCAAAGAACGGCGTTGTGAGCCTTGCGAGTCAAGCACCTTTCGAACTCCGAGCAGATGGAGCAGATGGAACCAACTATTGCAGTGTTCGGACGAAAAGAAGAACAGCAACAAGGCGGTACTTGGAGGGGGGCAGCGGCTTTACTATAGCGGCCTAAAACTTTACCAATACTATTTGGGGGGGGTTCAGCATTATAGTTTCAGTATTACCACAAAACCTTATGTAGTAAATCTAACAGGGGCAAAACCCAAGAATGCATCCGGCCAGGCCTGTCCGTGACCATGACACGCTCGCCAATTCGTGGGCCCGAGATGAAATCCTCGGGCGTTCCGTTTAGGACGTGAGCCTTATAAACCCCTGAACCCTAAACTTTGCAGCGTTTTGGGTTTGCGTTGTGCTGCGTCCGGGATCGTCCGGGCCCAAGAACTCCTTATAGACATGATCTGGCCCTCACATACTTTGAGATCCTCGATGAAATTCAGGGCTTGCTTACGTTCGTTGCAGCCATGGTCAACGATTTCCACAATGGGAAGAACATAAGTGTAACATAATGGGGCTAGCCTTTGTATTTGCTGAATTATCTAACATCGTAGAGTCCCTTTTGTAGGAGGCGAAGTGCAACATCCTACATGCTCTGAGTGATTCAATTGAGTTTCTCGGCTACGCTTTGGCTTTGGTGTTCTACTACAGCTCCACAACGCCTGTACTGTGATACACTCGCTAACTGTTCAGACCTCTATTGGCTAAACTAAACACTGAACAGGAACGAACTCTATTTCCAAACGCAGCACCTTAAGCCCCAACCCCTGCCGGTACCTGAGTTTCAGTACTCCCCCCCGCCCTACCCCTGCCTCAAAACACAGAAAACCTGAGACAACAGCCCTCCTGAAGCCCCAAAGCCTTTGCTCAATGCCGAGTTTCAATCTCCAGCATCGAAGCCGGTAGGGCGATTTCAGAGGGGCGCGCCTGAGATTCGGTGCTCTAAGGCTGAAGCCCTGAATATAAACATGACCTACATTCTTGGGCTTCTCGCTGAGGAGCTCCTCATAGTTACTCGAACTTGATCGGTCTCTGGGGCCTAAGGGAAACCTTCTACCCTATATACTATAAACCGTTGGCAGAAGTCCGGGGCTCCATCGGCTGATGAGACTTGAAGCATGGGGACTTAAGACCCTTAGGGTAGGATCTAACGGAATTCAACGTATGCGTAAATCCCAGCATCCAAAATTAACGAGCCTCAGCGCTGCACGCTCGCCCTAAAGCCTGACATTCAAAGTGCCCCAACGCCCAAAAGCAGAAGTGCAAAACTCCCGCTCTCCTAAGACCCCACAACATCCCACACTAACTCTGAAGCCTGTAAGTTCGAAACTTCCACACCCGTACCAAACCCAAAAGCAGACCAAAAACACGACCACCCCAAACCCACAAATGAAATCCCAACAACAGAAGAGTCAAAAATGGATTGCCAACAACCCCAAACCAAAGAACTGACATCCCAACACCCCTGAACTCCCAAAAACACTGACCCCAAACCAAACCACAACGACCCTCAACCCAAAAAACGAAAGCCCAACTGCCTAAACCAAAAGCCCACCCGAACAACCCAGATCCAACTGCCCTAAGCTAAACCGAAAAACAACCCTAACAACCCCAAACCCCAAACGACAAAATCCCAACCGAGTTAAACCAAAAACCAAGCCCAACAACCCTAAACCCAAAACAGCAAAATCCCAACCGCCTTAGGCCAAAAACCAACCAGCAACCCTAAACCCTAAAACACCTTTTCCAACTGCCCTAAGTCCAAAACCAACCCTAACAACCGTAAACCCAAACACTTCCGGGACTGGACCTCCTCTTCCGACTTCTCCGGAGCAGGCCTGGCGGCTCCCACCCGCGCCGCCGACAGCGGGGTTTCGGGTCTTGGGGTTCAGAGTTTACGACTCAGGGTTACGGGCTTAGGGCTGCAGTATTTTTGGATTTATAGGTTCGTTTGTGTTATAAGGCTTTAGCATTTAGGGTTCGGGGTTAAGGAAAAGGTCTGCCAAAGCCTAGCATAGCCGAAGGCTTGGGCAGGGTCAGAAAATAAATATTGATCTGTTTTGGAGTTTAGGGGGCCTCTAGAGTTCAGACTTTATTGAGGTCTAGTAGTCTAGCAAATAAGATAAGCAGTTCAGGGCTGGAGTGATAGGTGGTACTTCGCACAGGCTTTTGTAAAAGTGCCGAGAGCAAGTATTTCGCAGGAGCATGGGGCAAATAATCGAGAACTATAAAGGCTTCGGGGTCAGGATTTGTAGTTCAGATTTATGTAGCAACTGTGGTATCCAACCCTCAACCCTGAATCTAAAAAACATTGACCCGGTAGGAAAGCCACGCCTCAGCGATGCACCCCCCATGGGGTTGACATCTCTGCAAAGCCTGGGAAAGCGAGAGCATCAGGGTTCATGGTTGAAGGGTTTCAAGCAGGAGCCTATATAGCATCGGAGTCTAGGGTTTTGTGCGTCAATCTACAAAAAAACAATTACTATAACATACCTGTTGTCACATATACATTAAACCAAAGCCGAAGCCGTGCTGTAGACTCTGATCTTCGTTTGCGTTCTTACGACTGATCATGAAATATGTATTCACTGAACCAGTTTCCACACTAGCATTTGTTGAAGCACCTGCACCTTTCCTGAGCCTCTTCCTCGCGTGCTCACGTCATGCTTTGGCGCGGTCCATGATCTAATCACAGTAGAAAATATCTCTAGCACCCGCTCATAACACTGTAGCACCGATTTGCGGAGCTTCCTCAAGCACAGCTTCAGCCTGAACAGAAACTCCATAGTTGGGCGCTCCTGTACCATGAACTTGTACTCACAAGGTTTACGGCGCGTGGCATCCTGGGCGTCAGACTTCTCAGATGCTCACCATAACTGAGCAGCTGAAAGGTGCTCTTAACTATGCAGTTGCGAAGCCGGTAAAGCGTAAATACGTGCTCACCGTGCTCCAAAGAAACCAAAGACCCTTTCCAGAACCTGGCGTGAGGAAGGCAAATCTACGCAGCTAACGGTCAATCCAACTGTCTGTCTATTTGGATGTACAAGTAGGCCGAATATGGTATGAGGTCCTGGGCATACCATGTGTGGCTAAATAAGGGCCTCCATTCTGCAGATGTATGGATTAAGGTTCCCAGCCGTGCTATAGACCGCTAGGGCGCGTGGGATAGGATAGTTCCGATCCCACGTCCTCCACGGTGCCCTTCCGGGAACGAGTCTTTATTGGTTGATGAGTGACTGACGAACAATTCACTGGCGGGCGGGTGTAGGATGGTCAAGTGAAGAATACGAATACGAATACGAACAATAACTTGGTGGCCATACCAGAAACGGAAAACTTAACCTTCCTGCAACCTACAGCTTGACATCATCAATAGTAAAGGCCCCCTGTTCAGACAAGCCGCCGCTCGAAGGAGCTGGACCTCAGAGCAATAGTAGGCTGTCATTCTAGAACGACGGACAGGGACTGTGACGGCACAAGTTCATGATAGGTTGCCTGTCTTGTACCAAAGCCAGCTGCCAGCTATTGACTGACCGTACATCTTTGAGGGCACATGACGAAGAGTGATCAGAGTTGACAGGCAGATTCTTGCATTTTTGTTTGGGAGGATGGCGTCTTTGCCTGCGGTTTCCAAAGCCCTATACATCTGGACAACAGACAACTGCAGGTCTGCACTTCCGCTCATTTTGGCAGATGTTCCTCGGGGCTGAGGCCATCTTCAGGGAAAAAGGGTCCCCAGACGTAGCTGGCCTTGCGACGTGACCATTGCGCAGTACCAAAAACTGGGAACTTGGCTTTGTTGCGGCTTTGATCGGGTGTTTGAAACTCCTGTGCGATCAATACACAGTTCTCCTTGGTGTACGTCACGGCGTTATCGAGGCGCTCAATGGACCAGACCCAATCAGCAGGGCCTGTTGCACAATGCAGTGGGACCCCCGAATAGTAGCATCGTCCACCTTGGAGCAATAGCATGTCGAGAAGATCGTCCAATTCAAGTGTAAATCTTCCATTGCTTTTGCCCTTTGCAGATCTGTAGCGGGCGCCAGCCAAGAGTGAGAGGGCATGCCCGCGCATCGTTTGCCGGTAGACCGAATTGGTGCCACAGCAGCATTTCTTGCAACGGGACCGTAAACCAGTAGTACTTGCTGCGTCGGAATAGAAGTTTTCCGCCAGTTGCCAGACCCCACAACAATTGCATCGAAACTTGCTCTCTGCATCTGGTCCTCGAAATGTCAACCTGCTCACGTTTGCGATATGCGGCCGCTGCCTTGCAGTAGCAATGTCTTCCTGCAGCTGCTGCATCTGTAACTGTCGTGTCCGGACATGTACAACCTCCTGGACTTTTTCCTCGGACCACTGTGTAGTCCCTGGAGAACTACACGAGCCATCGCTTACTTTGTGCACGATAGAGTTGAATTCAGCTGCAATGAGACAGCAGTTCCCTCTGATATAACCGTGATGGACGTCTTTTCTTTCGACCGAGACTCTCCAGTGCGAGTTTGGCTTTAGCAGCTCCATAGGTATGCCCGAGTATGAGCACAAACCGCCTTGCTCAAGTACGAGATCCAGCAGGTGCTCCGCATCCACATTCGACTCTCTGCCTTTGCGTTTGTCTCTGAGGCGGATCTTGCCCGCCGCTGTGCGAGCCCAACCGCCCAAAGTTGATCTGTACCAGTAATCATACTCAGCCTTTGTTAGCTTGGCATGTCTACATTCTCGGCTACGTGGGATTCTGGCTGCCTCTACCATGGCTGCCAAGTGATCGTGTCCAATCGCTCTTGGTGGCTTGTCTTCGCCTGTTAATGATAAGGCAAAGCGATTTTGGGCAGAGGCCTGTGGTGGTGTGCACGCATCGAATGGTGCAAGGCAACCTGCTCTTCGCCCTCGCCAGTGCAGGAATGGGAATGCAGACTTGAGGGACTTCATGGCTTGCGCCAGTATAGCCGGTGGCGCAAAAATCCTAACCAGACACAACAACTTTGCAAGCTGTCCACGGTTTGCAAGGGTTTCCACATGCAAAATCGAATCTGTCATAAGTAACCGTCTCGCAGGGTCAGGTGAGAGAGAGGTCTGCCAAAATCGAGCAGTCTCAAAACACCAGGCCCTGTATCCATCATCTGAAACCCGCACCTGCCAGCGCCTCCGAAGCTTTTGTGTTGATGGCTGCTTAACGACGCCTGACCTCACCCTCACCTTCGGGCTGTTGACCCTCATCATGTTTGAACACGTTGGGCGCGGTCTGTGAAGTCCCAGACCTGTAGGTAACAAGATAGTTGACCAATACTAATTTCCTCAAGATGCTGCAACTGATGAATTCACGTAAGAACAACCCGCTGTAAGATCTAAGGCCCTGCAATACCCAATCAAGCAATCCCCTTCTCCGTAACGTTCTGCAATCGCCCAACACAGCACGAACTCCAGCAGAGTTTATGGGACTCCTGTAAGGTGGTGGGTTATGGTAGTTCCAGGCCTATGACAGAGAATGTGGATCTCTGAACCCGGAAGCCACGAAGCAGTCCCTGAAGCCTGTGACGTAGCCTTTGTTTCTACATGCGTAAAAGCAGGCTCCACAGAGTCCAAGCATGGTGTCGCTTCATCAGGCTGCATACAGCCTCAACATTCAACGTCTGAAACCCTCAAAACCTGAACCGCAGATCCGGGACTCCGAGATATTCTAAATGCGACACCCCGATCACTGAGTTCTAAATCCTGTAAAGCCCAAACCCTGAATACCAGATTCCCAAACCGTGAACTCCGGAAACCTGTGTGCTGCAGGGTCCCAAGTCCGAATAAGTTCGATCAATACCAGGACTACTAGGAAGTGCAATAAGGACTTTCAAGCAACTTAGGTTCTGAAGGGTTCAGGGCCAGGGTCGCGGCCAGTTCTTCCGCGTGGAGCCATAGAAGCGGGAGCTGCCCCCGAGGATCATTCCGAGGGCCTTTCAAAAAGAACTCGAATGCCGAGGAATGCTACAGCCCGTATAAACAACGGGATGTTGGATTGCAGACTACATGTCCTGTAAAGAACTTTAATGCTGTGAAGAGGTATAGGCTTCCGAGACTACCGCTAAGCCCCGTAAGCTTCGGTTTTGGTAAAGTCGCTGACCCTCACCCTAAACCCAAAAAGCCATACAGGCTGAAAGATATCCCAAACCCCTGAAACCTCAACTGCTGAATCTGATGTCAAGAGCACAAGCCCAGACAACCTCGAGCTGCAAAGCGATGACAGAGAGACACGGACAGGCTGACACAGACAAAAATATACATGAACAAGCATGCCACAGACATCAAACTGAAGTTGATCCCACAAGCACTTGTCTTTCATATGTTTGCCGAACCGGGTTGTCGATAGGAACGCATCAGAAAAGCATCTTGGGCTCCCTCCCTCTCTCTCTCTCTGTCTCTTGTCGTTGGGTATGTGCGTGGGTGTGGGTGGGAAAAAACATTAATTGACCAAAAGCCCCTATGAAGACTGAAAGGCAGTCTCCACAGAGAGCAGTTTCCGCGGACGGGGTCCACGACTGCTGATTGTTTGCAAAAAAACCACAGAACCACAAACGCACCGTGAAACCCTGACTCGATCTGCGAACCGGAAATACAGGGGTCCGAATGATTCACCCGTTTTGCATCACCATGCTGTAGAACATACCCGACAACCCTATCGCAAGCATCTAGGACTGTATACTCCAAACACCGGCCTTCTCCGCAATCTGTTCGTCCGTAGGAGTCTGATCCTGGTCCTGGTTCTCAGTATCACGTTGCAGACCCTTGTAAGTTCATAGGTCGCTTTCCCAGCATAGCTACTGCAGTGGCCAAGATGACACAAATAGCTGTCGCAAGGGTTGTGGACAGTGTAGGATGCCCTCGAAGTCACGCACAACCCTGCCCGATGAACCACCTGCGCTCTGGATTTGATTTGACAAGATGGGCGCACTCCCCAAAATCGGCGAATTCTCCTATGCTGAACTCAGAACCCTAGCAAAAAATATAATTTTAGCTGTTTCTTGTGGATTCTAATAACCAAAAATGAAAAATATTCCTAAGCCATTCCACAGGAGACCCAATGCTCAGGACGATTCTTTTTCTTCCACCCGAAGTTGCGAACGACAGACATAACCTCATTGCCTCGGCCCCAGATTATCCTGATACGCCTAATGAGCTAAATACAGAGGCCCCTCGAACCTAAACCCTAAACCTCCAGACTTCCGAGGTAGTTACTTGTTGCTATAGACTTCAGGCCCCAAACTAAGCAAGTATAGTAATTAAACTTGGAGTCTTAGGGAATCCTAAGAGTAAACCCTGCTCGGATCCTCTGTCCACTGACGCCGCCAAGGCGTGTGTGTCTCCGAAGAGGCCTCATGTACACGAACAGTACAGAAGCGTGTTCCCCCTTAGTTGCTGCAAAATAATGTACCATCGATTCCGAGAAGCAGCCGAAAGTCCCGAAACGTCATGGGGCCTACAGCGCTCAAAGTCCAGGATTTCCTGTAGCAGGTCCACCTAAGCTTAAACCTTGCCGCAAATAAGGTCAAGAAGCCTAAACTCATGAAGCCTGAGCCACGGGGCTTATGCTGAAACAGAAGCACTCCAGAAAGTCGGGTCCAAGGTTGTAAGACTAGTAGACATCCATGTCCACACCCTGAGAATGACAGAGTTACGTTGTGCACAAAAGCAAGTATTTGCTCAGGGCCAGCAGGTTCTGGAAAGTGTCCATGCAACCTTGGGCTCATACCGCACTTGTAAAACAAGGCTTCAGGTTTTGGGTACTCGCCATCAACTGACTTGTGATTTTCAAGAGACCCTTCAATCCGAATAGGGTGCTTTAACACTTCTTTCGGATTGGACTTGTGGGGTGATGTCTTTCGCTTAGGGTCCAAGCAGTTCAGGGTTTTTCACCTAGGGTTGGAACAGCTTCCGGCTTTCAGGTTTACGGCCCGTTTACGGCCTGAAAGCTCTCTTTTCTCGGTGCCCGCAGAGCCAGTAGATAAACCCTGTTCCTGCAAGACTTCCATGTGGTAGGACAGCTGAAAAAGGTAAACTTGCAACCTAAGCCCCAAACCAAAGCCATGTTGTAAGCCTTGTAAGCCCCTACCTAGATGCACCCGAAACCCTCGAAGGGCGAGGTTTTGAGCTTCCCGCTGGCAAGGTCGAACAGCCTGGCAGGATCAAGCAAGCTTCTGAACACACCTCAAAGCCTCAAAGTGTGTTGGGATGCAGGCTTCAGGGTATTGACCCCCTGGCGTTGCAGGAGGTTGCGCCTCGAGAAACCCTGTCAAAACCTGGAAACTGTCACTCAACCATCCAGGGCCGGAAATGATCCCGCATACATCTGCAATTAGTTTGTGCAGGTAGGTAGACAGATAGATAGATACATAGATAGACAGATCCATAGATAGATAGACAGATAGATAGAGACAGAGAGGGAGATAAAGAGAGAGAGAGAGAGAGAGAGAGAGCGAACCATAACAGATTGATGGAATAGGATAGGATAGGACGGGATGGGATCGGATCGGATCGGATGCGATGGGATGGATAGGAGAGGATGAATGTTAATGGATCATGCCACTGTTTATCCCAATATGCGCCCTGAGTCATGAGTTGGCCTTGAGCATCGTTCGCTCGACAATAAACCTCTTGCTCGGGACATAAGCCCCGATCCCTACGAACAAGAAACCCTGACCCCAAAGCACAAACCAAAAAATGCCCTAAATCCCAAACTCTGGACTCGATCGTACGCTTAGACGTAAACCCCATGAAGCCAGATCCCTAAAGCCCTGAAACCCAAAGCCCGGAACCCACCACCCAAAAACCTCACACCTCAAACCCTGAAGAACACGATAACTCTTAACCCTGCCTGAAGAGCCGAAGACCTTTCGGGCCACTCCAAGGCCGTGCATTCGATGGTTGGCGTGATGCCTGCAACGTGGCTTTATACCTAAACCCGGAATAACCTATATACCTTTTTCAGGACTTATATAAGGAAATCATAATAAGGAACCCTAGAAAGGCAGGCTATTCAGGGTAAAGGTAAGGCTTAAGGATTTCGCAAGCTTGAAGTGCGCAGTGCGGCTTCAGGATTTCTCAAAGTGCTTGAGTTTCCGGTTGAGGTTTTTAGGGCTATACACGGCCATGGGAAACATGGCCAGAAGGCGCGCAGGGGCTTTGCTCGGTTGGTGTTGGAGGCTTTTGCCTCGAGCTCGTGAGCTCCAATTTGTGGTCTTTCAAATTTCGGGCTGGAGGTGTAGGAATCTATACCTTAACCCGGAATAACCTACTGTTTTAAGGACTGACATAAAAAAAAAGAACCCTACAAAGGTAGGTGATTCAGGGTTAAGGTAGGAGTTGAGTATAGGTTCGTCTGGGTGATACAACCAGGACTTACATGCTTTTGCTTCTGTTCAGGCTTCCGTTGGGAAGTTGTGCATGAAACTCCTCTGGGCTTCCTGGCCAAATCTATATGGGCTTGTCTCATCTTCATCAAGGTTTGCCCAGAATACGAAAGAAAAGGGGAACCTGTCAAGCTTGGATTGCTGAATTTCCTGGGATGCAGCTTAGGCTTGTAATTCGAGTCTAGGCTTAAGGGTGCCTGTGGCGGTTGCAGCCACCGCCGCAGAATCGCACCAGCAGCTCTGCGTTGCCGATGCGGACCCAGTCCTCACTCAACGACTGTCGTGGTGCATGCCGGGAACGTCTGCAAAGAACGTGGCCCTTCTAAAGTTACACAGGGCTGCGTACGTTTTGATACAACAGGACCCCTGCCTATGTATTCAGGTGCGGTGCCCACAGACCAACATGTTCCTTCAGGCTTCACAAACAAGCTATCAACTTATTCTGAAACCGCAGGAAAGCCTGAACCCTAAGCCCCTATCTCCTCAAACTTTTCCCCAAACCCAAAAAGTTGATGATTGCTAGGCTGTTTTTTGTTAGTGCCCGAGGTTTCCGGTCTGGAGGACTTCGTGCTTAGAAGACATCAGTCGTCGGAGTTCACAATTCCCAAATCACCTTAGCCCTAGGGCAAGCGCCGAAGACCCCCCCTCAAAAAATCAAAAACTGAACCCTACAAACCCGAAACCCTACAAGCCCTAAACCCGAATAGCCCTGAAGGCCATGATATACCTCAAAGCCTAAAAACTCTCCAGCCGCAACCCTGAAACCTCCAGAAGGCCCAGTGGCCCCGCAGCTAACGGGTCGGCCCTTCGTCGTGATCTTCCTCGGCA